ACTGAAGTTCTGACGTCTGCGCGGCCTTGCACAAAAGCAGTGGGAGGAACGTGAAGCGGAGCCGCTGGTGCTGTGGCCTGCGCTGGCCGAGCAGGCAGCGGGCTCGGGGCCTACGAGCGCAGGGGGCCCAAGGAAGCGCCTGCGGGTGCAACCCCGGGTAGCTCTGGGAACCTCCAAAGCTTCAGGGCAAGGTTTGGAAGGGGAAAAGGATGCTCCCTTGGAACAAATGGGTTTGGGGCTCATACTGTGGCTTGGGCTTCTTTGGAATACTTTCGTTTTACCATCAGAGAGGAGAGGTTTGTTCAAACTTTGCTTCTGTATGCCATCTGGTTTCAAAAGGATGATAATGTGTATAATCAGCTTTTAAAATGCTGGATTATCTATGGTTTTATTGACTCTTTACAAAATCTGTTATTTCTAATTAATTCTCCATACAGCTATTGCTAAACATAACTTGCAAAGACGTGAATGAGCTTGATGGCAATGGCTAGTCAAGGTCAGTAATTAACTGCCAGCATTTGCACTGTTGAAGATAATAAATCACAAGTATTCCTAATCACGTACCCACCAACATGACATGACAAATACTGGTGGAGCCATCGAAGCAGCTATTTTACAGATAATTTAGAACATCCATTCGGCATCATTAAACAGTGCCCTTGGCTGTGTAGTTGTTGTGATAAAACATGTATGTCCTTTTGCATTTCTTGTCCTTGAGTCTTGCAATATTTTTTTACGTTGGAATTACAATGGTAGAGGTATAAATGTAATAAGCCCTGGTTGGGCTATAGGAGCCACTGATATCTAAAAGCAGTGATGGTAGGTAGCAGATGAGCTATGGCACCGTATCTTCTTTGCTGTATTTTCAGTTGAAAGTTTATAATAAGGGTAGATTGCTGATAACAAGATTTTTTTTTTCTGGATCAGTAGTAGTCCATTGTCTAATGGTTTAGGAACAGCATTAGAATTAAAAAAAAATCATTTTTACTTGAGTGTTATCTAATACTGGATTATTTATTTATTAAAACATGCACTAATTATATTAATTTGGGGGTTGGAATTTTTTTTTTCTGATAAGTGTATGTCTTGCCTCACATACAACACAATAGAATGGCACATGCAAAAGAATACAGCTCTATCTTGATGCCCAGTTCTGACACTGCAACTATTTTGTTACTGAACACCAAGAGGAATTTTCAGAGAGCAAACTATTGTAGCATTTCCCAGCTCTCAGCTATGTGGTCAGTGGGTCCTGACAAGAAAAGAAGTGATCTGGTACTCTTGATGAATGTGGCTTTGAGCTAAGAGCTAGGTAGCTCTGCACAAATATTGTTCCCTATATTTTAAGTAGTGCAATTTGCTGTTTTAAAACTATGAAGTGTCAGAACAATATTTATCAGTCCTTAACTTAGACTTGGCATATATAATAGCCGGTTTCACTTGGTCTGAGGATTAAAAGACTCGGTCCTGCTCTACCCTGTAAGATGCCGTTCAAATACGTATTTTTCAATAGCATTATTGCTGTCCAAAGAATCATTATAAAGTTCTCAATCTTTGATTTTATTATCAGTTCTTACTTGGACCAACTTTTACATTTTTTCAAAAGAGAGAATGATATATTATGTAACAAAACTTTTCACCTTGATGCTGCGAGTCAAACTGAGCTACAAAGAACTATGATTAAATTTAGGTATATATTTGTTATACTCTATTGAATTCAGTGTCTAATTTTTGTCTATTGTTACCTGCTTGTGGCTTTCTCCACGTTCCAGTTTACTGTACGATTGCATACCAGGAATATGTGGGATTTTTCAAAGGAAAAAGAATTAAAAGGGAAGTGTTTCAGTAGGATAGAGTATGCATGAAAAGCGTTTTCAAGCTAGGACTGTTTTAAAGAAGTGTTTTTCTCTATAAATAGAATATAGAGCTACACTGAATAATTAAGTAATTGATTTAATGAAAGTCATGAATAAATGTGTGTGTGTGTGTCATAAAAGCTTGAGTTGAGGGCAGGGGAATAGTATCTTCAGCCATCGGATCTTGATGCAAAAGGGGGATTTAGGAGGAAAAGGTATAATGATATGTGCATCCCTTATGGAGAAAAGCAAAGCTTCCACGAAGAGAATGACTAAATTTGACATTTAGCAATATGATTTGAGCATAATTTTAAAGATCAGTGTTTTATTATTTTTGTGAATGCACAAACACCGTTGTACCTCCTGTATGTAGTAATATAACCTCATTTTAAGTTGGAGAATATTTCTGTGTGGCTTGGAGGAAAGAGAACATAAGAAATTAAAAAAAAAGCAAGGTGCTGTTCGGTGGGATGCAGAGCTTAAGCTGGTAAAAGTTGAAGGAGATTTAAGTACTAACAGCTAGTTTCAAAGCTTTCTTTGCAATAGAGTAGGAATTTCTCTGTGTTGGATTTTCCTTTTCATAATAAAAATACCTCATCTGTATTGTAACCTATTCTTCTTTTGAGCTGATTAAAAGGACGTATAGAAGCAAAGTGCATTTTATTTCAGAATGTGAAGCGTCCAACTGCTATTGCTGAATAGCTGAATGTATGCTTTATATTCAGGCTTTCCCTGTATCTTTCAGCAGTATTCAAGCCCTTCATCTAGATAAGTTCTGTACAGCATATGCTGTAGGTAACGTCCTGGGTAGGCAATTAATGACAGCCTTGGATCAGCTGTTATCTCAATTTGGCTTCACTGTTTTTTAACCCAATGATTCTAATTTTTTTTTAAGGGCTAACTTATATTAAAAAAAAAAAAAAAAAAAGTTCCCCCATCTTTTGCAAGTCTTACATGACTATATATTTTCAATGAAAAAACAATAAATATATACATGAGCATACATAAGCAAACACACATAAGTACATGTGTATAAGTTATTCTAAAATGCTACTGTGATATGCTGGAACCTTCCATTTCTCCATAGGAAGAGCTCTTTCACTGAATTACCTTTTTTTGGGTACAAAAAGGAGAAAAAAAAAGACTTTTTCAAGGTAGAAAGATGATGCATTATAGTTGTTGCATGGTAGGAAAAATTTTGCTGGTTTTTGGAAGAAATGGGAACATGCAGCATCAAAATTACAGATGCCTCAAGGTATTACAGTGGAATGTCAGGATGGAAATGTTTAATTTTTCAGTCAAAAGACGTGAAAAGGTATTTAAAAAAAAATCATTTGGAGGAGCTGCCTTCCCAGACTATTGGCCTTTTCTCTGGAAAGCAGACAGTTTTGAAGAATTTTGCTTAATGAGAAACTTTTTTCACTCTGTAAGAAGAGTGGTGGATGGGGAGAACATTTTTTTACCCATGTCCCATTCATTGCCTAAGCAAATCAACATGTAAAGCTAAAATACAACACTGAATAAGTAGTTCTGAGACATCCCAAGGCACCTACCTTGCCTTACGTGGGTATTAATACAGTGTGCCCTGATATAACTGGGACTTGGGCAAACAGAACATCATCTTTAACACTTTTTTGGTGAGGCTTTCCTGTGTCTCTCTAATAGATGAGCTAATGCAAGCACCTAGCAATTATCGAGTAGCATTATGTTATATAATGGAAGTATATATAGCATAAGGAATAAAGCTAGTAAACGTAGCAGAGTGGAGAGCAGGTGAGAAGTAGTTTGGAGCATTTGATTAGTATGTGAGCACCGTCCTTTAAAAGCCAATTTACTTTGGATGTTGCAGTAAAGCTGCAAGCCAGGAGACTTGTGGTCCTTGATCTGGAGTGACATTCGCTCTGCGCCTCTGGGTAAATCATTTGACCTCTGTATAGCTCTTTAAGGGAAACATAAAATGAAAAACGGCAGTGTGTGCATACTTGAAATTTCCTGAGCAAGCTGGTTATCTTATGTTTGAATTAAGACTACCTGTGAACTTTGTTTTCCAATGACTGACTGACAAATCCTCTGTGACCTGCAGTTTGAACTATCAAATTATTTCACCACGGTGTCACATTTTTCAGGGTTACTCTTATAATTGCTTGCCAGCATTCAAAATGGTAATACGTGAAGAAATGCAAGAGGTCGTATTTGCCAGGCAAAGGGAGTCTCTACTGAAGGAAAGAGTCTCCCCAGCTTTCCAGGGCGTGGGAGAGATCCAAAGCTCTCCTCTCCTTTAATGTAGCACATTTCTCTGAGCATGCAGATTTTATTAGGGTGGCATTTCCAGTTCCCCAGGGAAGGAGGGAGGGAGGGAAGAGACTCACCGCATCATGAAATGTGAGTTGTTCTTGAAGAGCACTGTCTCTAAAAAGCTGCCAGGGGAAATATTTCCTAAAGATATCTTTAGAGAGTCATGTTCAAAACCCCAACAACAAAGATGCTCCATGTTTTAACAGTGTGGTACATAGTTAAAGCTGGGTTTGCAAGATGCATCATCCTGTAAAACTACAGAGTAGTTTCCAAACCTCTGACCCTTCTTTTCTGGCACCTGTGGTACTATAGAACGATATCATATACTTGTAGAACATGAAAATGCTCCAGAGCTACTTCAGAGCACGAGTTGTTCCGTTGCACGAGTCTCGCACGCGAACACGGAGCGTCGCGGTGAGCGGCGATGCCAGCCGGAGCGCGCGCCGCCTCGCCGCGCTGCTCCCCAAAGGTGTCTAGCAGCTTTGCATCCGCTTCAGCTATAACAATCTTGAAGGAAAAACAAAGCAAGCAAAGAGAAAAAGGAAATTTGTAGTTATGTGATCATTGACAGAGTGGTTTGGTTTTGATCTTTATTTCCAGTTTTAATCATCTGCCCTGGGGGCACTTTCTCACATCAACATTGATAGATTATGGATGTTTTAAAGCAGACTAATTTACTAATAAAACTTGTGTTGAGTCAGACACTGCCAGAAAGAGTTGTGGCTTCCTCATTGTTAGGTACTCCGAGCAAAATACCTGTTATAAATTCTTAACCGAACTTTGCGTTATGGTAAATGTGACTTGAAATAGTCATAACTGTTTTGTGCTTTGTTTTTATTTTTCCTCTAGCTCTTCATTGAGAAGTGTATCAACTGGATCTTCAAGACCTTCCAAAGTGTGTTTGGTGTGCGGAGACGAGGCATCTGGATGTCATTATGGGGTAGTCACATGTGGCAGCTGTAAAGTTTTCTTCAAGAGAGCAGTAGAAGGTAAAAAAAAAAAAAAAAAAAAAAAAAAAAAAAAAAAAAAGGGCAAGCAAACAGCAGAACAAATAAACACACAAATCAAAACCAACCACAACAAAAATGACACAATATGTGTGTGCATAGAGCATTATACACACACACACACACGCACACACTCTCACACTTTCCTGTAGGTTTTCTCCTGTTGATAACTTTGTTACCTGTCATTAATATGAAACAAGAATATTTGTTGATTGGACACCGATTATACATGGTATTACAAATGTAGACTGTTTTGTGATGTTTTCTAATGTGCAACTCTCTAAAATAATGTATTGTTTCACCTTATGCCACTACTTAATCAAGATTCTGCTCCTTCAGCCCCAGCCTGTGACTTCTTGCAATTTCTGTTGGGCATGCATACAGCTGAAGTAAACATACTGCTGCCTCTGCCCTACCAGAGGATGAGTAGGGATCTCTCATCATGCTTTTACTGCCTACATGCCTGAGTATGATTTGCTTGAGTCAGTTATCTACCTGTGCGTATCTCTGATGTTTTGAACTCCTTTATGCATCTGTTTATACTTTTGGGAAAAGAGAAGTGGCCTTACGGTACTGCAGTGGATGGGTAAGGAAGCAGGAACTGATTGCGATGCGTTTCTTAGAGATCTTGATGCTCTCCCCTTCATTAAGGACTAGCCCTTTGAATAGCTGGCATCTCCTCATTGTGTGCTTGTTATGGCATTGCTCTTCTTTCCTACCATGATGGAGAAGAGTGAGTTAAGATTACTTAGAGTCCTGCAGGTCGTCTTGTGGGGTTTGCCTCTCCATACTTGGGGTATTAAGGTAAAAGAAAGTGTTTTACCTTTAGAGGCTTTGTAAGCAATTTCCGTAAGTGATGAAAAAAAGATTTACTACATGATTAAGAGTTCCTGATATGTAAAGAATGTGAGTACTTTTTGCATAAATACTACTTATATAAATACTTTATAGCTTTTTGACTTTTTTTTTTCTGTTAAGATATTCTTATAAATCAGTAATGAAGAAGACTATTTATTCATTCATTTTGATCAAGGAAAAAAACATAGAAGGAAGCAAGCAGGTTCTTAACGTGTTGTCCAGCTTGTGCCCTGAGAAGAGAGAGGCAATGTGTGATGTGATTGATTTTTTTCTGTGGCCTTTAAATCTGCTACTGATAGTGGTAAGGATTTATCTCTCTGTTAAGTAGACCTGGAGGACTTGGGGATATAACACGTCAAGTCCTCATGTAATATCTATCCATCTAGCCTCAAAAAGTGTCAAACTAATTGAAATAAACTTTCCAAGGTTACAGTGACATGGAGAAGGTTCCTTCCCTCTGAAAGCTTTTTCTCTTACTGCTGTTAGTGGCTAACCATGATGCTCTCATTCACTAACTTCTGGGTTATATTTTTTGTGACTTACTATAATTATTTGTTTGTTTATAATCACATTCACCTCCCCTCAGTGTGTGAACCTATAGTACTTTCTTTGTTAGATTTCTTCTTCCCTGTCTTCCAAAAAAGCTTTCTTCCCAGTCTAAGTCACTGTAATTTGAAGGTTCTATTTCTCTACATCTGCCTTCCTTCTCACATTTGATGTTCTTTCAGAGATATTTCGATAGATATCCATATCCTACTTTACAGATATTTATGAAAAGTTTTGGAGGATTTCCTTTAGGAAGTAACAAAGCACTTAGAATAGGTTTGTCTAAAGTCTGTCTAAAAATATGGTTGTTATCAGTAAGTGCTGAAAGTTTATCAGCTAGGCAAAAATAAAAAAAAAGAAAAGAAAAAGAAAACCTCCCAACAATTCTGTTTTAAAATGCATTTTTAAAATTATTATATTCATATATGGGTCCAACCTGTGGTATATGAACACTGTCTAGACAGCTGCTTGATGCAGATATGACTGTGAGCTCTTGATGCTGCCAGTTGTGTTGTTGTTATATAAATAATGTAAGTTTGGCACTACTTTTCTGAATTTAATATATATTTCGATATATCTTTGTTTCATATAGAATTCTTTGGAAATGTTTCCTCTTGTATGACTTTTTCAGGGTTGGTAGAATAGGGCTTCATACATTTCAGTGAAATTAGGAATCTCAGTTTCAGTCTCCCTATGGTTTTGTCATTTTTTAAAAGGTTTTGTGGGGTTCCACAAGTCATAAAGTTGAGCATACAAGTGAGCTGTAAAATATTAGCAAGAAGAAGTTAAAGGAATGAAGAAATCATACCCTTTCAGAACTGGCCTTCAACTCCGTTTTTATCAAAATGATAGCTAAATTTCATGCTATTTTGGACAGAGTAACTGGGAGGATTTTTTTTTTGTTTCTGCTGTTTAAGTGAAGGTTTTATTTATTTAGTTTAAATATATATATATAGGTGGGCCTTCAAAAGATTCAGTGGGATGGAAGTCATGGGAGAGAGCAGCTGGTGTTCAGGAAAAACGAAAAAAAAAAAAAAGAGGGTAGATAGGAATGGTGTCAGAAAGCCTGGAAATGAACAGAAATAAAGATGCAGAGGAAGGGAAGGTAACGCGCCACCCAGTTGTTCTGCGTGCAGCTACAATCACAAACCAGTTGCGGTTCCACCTGGAACAGCTTTTGTGTGCTAATTGCTTTGTGCTCCTCTGAAGTACCATCAAATGGCCAAATTAGAACAGGCAAGGACAATTGCCTTGAAATTTAGAAACAAATCAAAAGGAATCTACAAAAACAAAGAGATTAAAGCTTTTATTTTCAATTTTCAAATCTGGGAATCATGTTCTCAGTGGATCTTATTTTTCCAGATTCGTACAAAATGTATTGAATTTAAGAAAAGGAGATTTCTATGGGGGAAAAAAAAGGTTAATTGCTGACAGTTTTAAGTAATTCCAGTAGAATTCACTGTGGAGGTACAAGCTATGTGCAGTATTTGGGGGTCAAGTAAGCTCGAACTTCTTGTCAAAGTGACTTGAGGAACAGGAGTTGGGTATGAAGAAATGCCACTGTGTCATTAAAATAAATTCAGTCTGCCTTGCAAATGTTAAAGTCCTTTAACAACATAACTGTTGATAAATGCTCACTAGAGGAGTTGAGAGAGCTTTTGGTGCATGAGATTAGATTTTTTAAAAAGGTAATTTGCTTTTGAATTTTCCAAGGTTTATATTTTTCCCTCCAGAATGAGAATATTGTATGACTTTCTAAATTACAGACATTGTCTATCATAAAATTATTTCCACTTAGTTTATGCTAAATAGTGGAGTCACATATTGGAAAGGCACAATACTGACGCACCTGGCTAGTATTATTTTCTCTGTTTACACTGAACCAGCTCCCTCTAAAGAGTCATTTGTGGCTGTTTTGGGGAATGTTTTCAATTTTTATTCTTCATTTTTTCAAGCTTCAGAGAAGTATGAACTAAGCTGTTCTAAATGAAAATTATTTTACATCTCTGAAGTTGATCTTTTCTTTTAGCCAGTATGTAAGAAAAGAGGAAGGCACATTGTCACGTCCAAATGGTGCTAAAGGCTACAGCAAAAATGACTGTTGCTTTCCAGTTGTTTTGTATATTTTCTAGGAGATTTCTGGCTACTTAAAAAGGAGGAATTAACAGATTATGTCATTTTAGTTAGGCTGAAGCTTGTTATTGTTGTCTTTAAATAGGAAAAAGTGTTCAGGACATTTCAGACTTTGTTGTTGATTTCTGCTCCAGAGGATTTGCATTAAAGCTACTTCTGTTACTTTATATCAGAAATGTAGATCTCTCTCTGGCTGTGAGGTAGCAATGTAGTCACAGCAGGAGGTTTCTGGGGTTGCATTTCCTTTTCACCCGCACTTTCATTATTTGCCTATTTGAAGCTGGGGGAACTTCTGCTGAAGGAAGTTCTTTCAAAGCCCAATCTGATACTATCTTATTTGAATGGCCTCCTGAATATAAGAAATATGTGGTACGCACCTCCGAGCGTGGGGTAGAAACAAAGGAATTGTCTCTGTGCTGGATATTTGAACAGCAGGTTATCCAAGACTTCCCTTCAATAGTGGAAGGGATAAAATTTCTTGCGTAGCAAGCCATAAAGACCACGTACATCTGTGAGAACCAAGATCGCCTCGAAGCTAGGGTTACGGAAAAGAGGGATGTTCTTCATTTGCCTTTGTGCCAGGTCACTTTGGGAACATAGGAATAAAATAACCTGGGCAGCATGAGACCCAACCCAGCAGTTACTGAGGCTGCAGTTTAGCTGCCAAGGCTCATCTTGCTATAACCAAAGTGATCCAGTGTCCTGCTAGAGAATCATTTTAGCACAAAGGATTATGAGCTGTTGGCAGCTTCAAAATTTGCTAGTAAATAAATTCAGTTCTTTGGTAAGCAAAGGCACTGTGCAGCCATTTGGCAGGGGACCAGATACATAACATCCCATGGATGCTCTGTTTTTGGGAGTACCCTGTTGCCCCCCTTTCCAGGAGGGGAAGGAGCGTGCCAAAGCTCAGGGTTTTTGCAGAAGCAGGTCATCTTAGTATGGCTCTCCCATGTGCTGTGCACAAGGAGCTTCCCAGAGTTCTACGTTTTCAAGTAGGAAGTGGAGGGAAATTAAAGCCTCTCTGTCTCTCCTAGATTTTTGTCTGAATTGTGTGGAAATAATAATCAAGCTAGAAGAATTTAAATGCCAGAATACCTAGCTCTTGACCGATTTGCTTAATTACCAAAGCTTAAAGTTTTTATAAACATTCCTGGTAAGCAGAAAAGTCTCCCTTTTTAACCGTTTAAATCTGAATTTGACACATTATAGAAAGGTGTTTTCCCCACTGTTTTGTAATGTGTATACCCATGGATTTTATAGGTCTGTATTTCTAGAACGAATATGTATACAAGTCTCCTGCATGGTACTCTCTCCACTCTTCTGTTCATTCACTATAATGGAGTCAGTGTTTTTCCATCACAGGCTGCAATTTTCATTTTATCCACTTTCATAAGGTCGGTGGCCTCTCTAAATTCAGCATCACTCAGTATAAATGTCCATATGTT